CAGTCCTGGAGGGCCGCGGGCCAGCCCTTTAAGCCCTTTTATAATTTTTTTTATTTTTTAAATTTTTTATATAATTCTAATGTTATTAATTTTTTACATTGTTAATAATATTTCAAATATTTAGTTATTATTATCATTTTAAAATTAAATTTAGTATTAGACAATAATTTATCCAATTAAATTTTTAAAAAATGGGTTAATTTGGACTTTAATAATGATTTGATTTATATTATATGCTTTGATATTTTTAAACTATATATATATTTGATAATAGAGTATTTTTATACTTATATAACTTGTGATTCTATAATTTGAATTAGAAATTCATGAGTTTCAACAATAATGTTTCTCACATTAAAGTAAAATAATAGCTAGATTGTACAATTTAAAAGTAAAATTCCTATAAAGAAGAAAAACTTGATATTTTTGTTACGAAAGAAAAACATACTTATGAAGAAGAGTAATTAATTATAGTGATGATGAAGTTTCAAAAGATTAATGATAGTGTTTATTTATTGTACAATTGCACTATACATAAAACTTTTGGATGTTGTTATCTTGTTAATGAATGTTTTAGATGTTCTTGGATGTTGATGGATATTTATATATGATGATATTTTATATTTGTGATTTAATTTTATTCATATTTATGTCTTTTTTAATAATTTCATTGGTTTATTTTTATTTTTTATAAAAAATATGACAAATATAAAAAATAGTTTTTTTTCCTTAAACGGGCCAAAAGCCCGCGGGCCGGCCCTGAGTCCTGTAACTTAAGAGCCGGCCTAGCAAATTGAGATATTTTTGAAACTTCAGTCCTGGAGGGCCGGTCCTTTTAAGCCCGCCAGCTCTGAAGGGCCAGGCCGACCCTGATTCCCACCTCTACCGTATATGATTCATTGTTAAAAATAATTGACTCTTCACGTTTGGGAAAATTGATAAGCAGATTTTCTTTTGTTTTCTTTTATCTTCCTTTCGTTTAATAGGTTCTCTTTTATTCCTTCTCAATTTTTAAACTGATAAAACTGCTGCTTTTCATCCTTTCTCATCATTTTTTTATTTTTATTTTTAAAAATTATCTTGATTGTAATCCAGCTGAAATAAAACGTGATTTATATAATAAACTAGGAAAAATGCATCAGCAACTGAAAAATCTAGTGACAATTCAGTTTACTAAAATCTCATTGACATTCTGTAAAATTGCCTGATATGCACCTTGATATATATGTAAATGATTTTTATACTCATCCAGTACTTGAAGTTCTTCTCAAGTCTTCGTTATCAATATACATAATGTCTCCACAGGATTTGAAGCTTTGCCGTATGACTACACAGCCAGCATCGAGGTGAGTTCTTCTTCCAACAGTATTTTAATTATCAAAACAATATTAATAGCGTATTAATAAATAGGAGAGGAAGTGAGAGGTTATGATCCACCTCTTGGTATGAGTCTTGAGAATTGAATCTTCTAAATTATGTATAGTCCACTTGGATTGAAGAAAAATAAAGGAGTAGAATTCACTTTTGCTTAGTGAGTCCCACTGAAGTAGGCTCTACAGAGGATTTGCTCCAAGTCTACGTTTACATGTTCTTATGTTTTCATGCTCTAGTGTCTAGAAAATCCTCAAAAGCCTTTGTACAATGGGGGAATCATAAAAAACCCAGAATTGAATGATGGGCTGGAAGGCTGGACTGCAATTGGAGATGCTAAAATACAACAAAGAGAATCAAGAGGCAACAAATTTATTGTGGCCTATAACAGATATCAGCCAAACGATAGTGTCTCCCAGAAGATTTACATGAGAAAGAATAATCTTTATACATTATCTGGTAAACTTTCTCCCCTCCACACTTGAGGGAATATACCCATCTGGATATGTTATTCTCTTCTTCTTGCTCGGTAATGGATTGGATATTTTGCAGCTTGGATACAAGTGAGTCAGGGAAATGCTGCAGTATCGGCAGTTGTGAAAACAAGGGAAGGACTCAAATGCGGTGGAGCCATTGTTGCAGAGTCTAATTGCTGGTCCATGCTTAAGGGTGGTCTCACAGTTGATACTTCAGGGCCTGCAGAGCTTTACTTTGAGGTACTTTTTAACATATTATTCCGTAATTATGGTAAAAAGGACTATTGATGTGCTAAATCAATGATTTCCAATTTTCCTTGAGACTCAAGAAAAATGCTAAACTTTGCAGAGCAATGACACTTCTGTGGAGATATGGGTTGATAGCATTTCCTTACAGCCTTTCACACAGAAACAATGGAGACTTCATTAAGAGCAAAGCGTCGAGAAGGTAATCCTTTTTTGTTTTAGTTTCATTTTTTTATCTGTATTTTGGACTAAAGGGGCAAATCACTATAAACGCCATTAACTCAGAACATAGCAAGAGATTATAATTCTTGTTTTGAATACTTATGATGATGATGTGTGCGTGCGTAAATGCATATATTAGGGAGATTAAACTAAAACCAGGTTCAAATTTTGGTTTGGTAGAAACACAAGAAAAGGGTATTAATCCAAGCAATTGATGGAAGAGGCAATCCGTGGCAAAATGCAAGCATAATCTTTGAGCAGAAGAGGTCAAATTTTCCATTTGGCTGTGCCATGAACAAGCACATCCTTGATAATACTGCATACCAGAACTGGTTCACTTCAAGGTTCACGGTTACTACGTTTGTAAACGAAATGAAGTGGTACAGTACTGAGAGTGTACAAGGCAAAGAGGACTACTCCATAGCTGATGCAATGTTGAACTTTGCCAATCAGCACAAAATCGCTGTTCGTGGTCACAACGTATTTTGGGATGACCCTAAATACCAACCAAGTTGGGTTCCTTCACTCCCACCAGACCAGCTTAACTCAGCAGTTCAGAAAAGGCTCAACTCGGTTGTGTCGCGATACAAGGGTCAACTCGTTGGTTGGGATGTTGTTAATGAAAATCTGCACTTTTCATTTCTAGAAAGCAAACTTGGGAAAGATGCTTCAGCCAAGATTTACCATGATGCTCACAATATTGATGGAAAGACCACGTTGTTTCTGAATGAATTCAACACCATGGAGGATAGTAGAGATGGTGTATCCATCCCAGCAAAGTACTTAGAGAAGCTCAGAGAGATTAAAGGATACGCTGGTTACACAGGATGGCCAATTGGAATTGGGCTAGAGGCCCATTTCAGTGTTCCTCCTAATCCTCCTTACATGAGGTCATCTATTGATACTCTTGCTGCTAGTGGCTCTTCACTTTGGCTTACAGAAGTGGATGTCAAAAACATGCCAAATCAGGTAAGTCTCAATAAGATCTAACCCAGGTCTTTTTCAGAGCGACCCTTTATATATATTCGCTTTGAACAAAATTTAAGACAAGTCTGTATAATTTGGTTTGTGTAGGCAGAGTACCTGGAACAAGTTCTGAGAGAGGCACACTCGCACCCACATATTCAGGGCATTGTTCTGTGGACACCATGGAAAGAGTGTGAAGCTATGTGTTTGATTGATGAAAATTTCAAGAACTTGCACTGTGGAGATGTTGTGGACAAGCTTCTTCAAGAGTGGAGATTCACACAATCACTGGAAGCCACAACTGACTCCAATGGATTTCTTGAAGCCACACTTTTCATGGTGATTACCAAGTCAAGATCACTCACCCTCTCAGCAACAGCCTCACTTCACTTCACAACTTGCAGGTCATGCCAATGGATGAACCAAACAAAGCTGCACAAATTATACAACTTTCTATTTGAGCTTTTTCTTCTGCATATCTACTGGACTCGGAACTGTGTGTTTATTTAAGAAAATAATCACTACTCCATAATATAATGATTGTTTTGCGTCTATTTTTATTCCAATACATAGCATATTAGGGAAGAGTACTTGATTAAGTTCTGAATTAATACTTTAGGAAAATGAAAAAATTATTAGTGAATCTTATTGGGACTTCCATGAATGAATTGAATGCCTGTAGACTTCTAATACTCATTGATATGTCTGAGTCCTCATCCATGATGCTCTATTAACCGGAAGAACCAAGGAATCATTACATTGATCTGATTCTGTAGTTGCAATTCTTTAGTTTTTAATTCAGTTTCTCTATGCAATTAGTCACTTACGGCCTAGTCAATAATTTTCTTGTTGACCTTGAACCAATTGTTAATAACCTAATATAGATTATGCGGGAAAGGCCGGAGGCGTATTAAGCATCATGATATTGTTCATTTATTGGCCATCCATATTGTCATTCATAAGACTTTTATGAACAAAGACAAATTTAGAAGACAGTGCCATTAAGATGGAAACAATTTTCGCAGCAGACAGGGAATATACATTATTAGAAAGGCCAACTATTTTAGGTAATTTGACAGTTATATTCAAATTACTTCCAAAATTATTAGGTATCGTTTCATATTTTTTTAAACCCCAGGTCAACTGGGTTATATATTTTATGATTATTTCCCTCATAAATGAACTGTATAAAATTTAAAAATAAATTTCGAGAATCAAGACTTGCAACTCTTCCCTATGTTCGATTCCCTATCCTACTGCTAAACATAATAGCCAAAAGACTAAACAAATGAATTTAAAATCCAATATCCAGTCATCATGTAGAGATCATTTGATTGGAAGGATTCTCTCCAACGTGGGCAGAATCAACCTTGTTATGCCGCATACAAGAGAAAAAATATGAAGTCAGGTCTGAACTCTGAATCCTCTTTTGTTCTCATTTGCTAACTTCTCCAGTTTTGACCATACTTTTTCACGGGCATATTCCGTCCACACTGTAAGGATAGTTCAACCTCATTATCCCTCTGACAAATGTCATGGTCTGAAAAACCCGTTGTATTTGTCTTCACTGATTGTCCACTTCTGAACTTCGTCCCCCACTTTCCTTGTTCCTAGGAATATAAACACACGAAACATTTTCACACACCCAAATTCAGAATCATCTTTGAGACATAGTTCTATTCCTTCTTCCCTACTTGATCAAAATAGCCAGCCTACAAAATGATTGAATCAAATCCACCCCTCCAGCAATATTATGGCAGGCTTTTACAAGAATCAGCTGGTAAAGGCCACCAGAATAGAAGCTGCTTCTATGATCCTACTCATTATCCTGTAATAGCGGAATGTGAGCTGCCATTGATAGACCTTGATGGTCTTAAGAGGTGTGATAGAAGAGAGAGGCTTGCATGCTCTGCAGCAATATGTAAGGCAGCATCAGAATGGGGATTCTTCCAAGTTATCAACCATGGAATAGACACTGAGCTGTTGAGAAAGATGAGGAGAGAGCAAGTGAAGCTGTTTGATATGCCTTTTGAGAAGAAGGAAACGTGTGGCCTTCTGAATAACTCATACAGGTGGGGCACACCAACAGCTACTCGTCCAAATCAATTCTCATGGTCAGAAGCTTTCCATATTCCTCTCACTAAGATTTCAGAGCCAGCTTGCTGGGGTGAATTCAAATCTTTAAGGTATCAAGATTCTATGCCTTTTATCTATTTTAGTTGAAATCCGTCACTCCCCGTAAAAGAAGCATCAATACTTCAAAGTTTGATGCTTTATGTTTTTCTTCAGGCTCTATATTCTTTTTCAAGTTAAGGAAGAAAACAAATATAAGAGAAAACTTAGATGGTCTGGTAAACAAACAAGAGCTTTTTGGTTGTCTTATTAATATCGACGCCACAACCAAAGTCTTTTATTTTTCTGTGGCTGAGAAGCATTTGGAGCTTTGTCATGAAAGCCAAGACCCAAGATTGAAAGCTTAAAGCCATCAGGGTTTGTTTTCTTACTGCTCTTAAACGTTCATTGATCCTTTTGGTCCAACTCTTTTTAATCATAAAAAATTTCATACGAAGGATGAAAAACAACACATGAATAAACTAAAAGCACTTGCAAACAAAAACGAGCTTTTTCGGCTATTATTGATGCCGACCCCACAACGAAATCTTTTATTTTACTTTGAGCGCGAAGTATTTGGAGCTTTGTTATGCAAGTCAAAATTATAAGCTTAGAGCCTTGATGCTTTATTTGCCTGCTGCTTTTAAAAAGTGTTTTTTAGAAAGAGAATATTCTTGGCCCAACTACCTTTTATTCTTGAGAAATTTTTTATCATGGAAGAAGATCAAAACTAGATGAATAATAAATTACAAACAACGATAAATTAAATGCGCATGTAGACAAACAAGCGCTTTTTTGGTTGTTCTTGATGTTGACATCCCAACAAAATCATTCATTTTTCTGTGAATAAGTACTCGGATCTCTGAATACAATTTAATTCGGTTTGCAACTTTGGCTACAGTGAAGTGATAAATGAATTTGCAGCAGCAATGTTAAGACTATCAAGGCTATTAGCAGGAATTCTGGCGGAGAATTTGGGGAATCCAAAGGACGCAATTGAAGAAATTTGTGATGAAAGCACATGTTTTCTGAGACTAAATCACTACCCAAAATCTGAAGAAGAAACTTTTGGATTAGTTCCTCACACGGATAGTGATTTCCTAACAATCCTCTATCAAGATCATGTGGGTGGACTCCAACTTATGAAGGACTCCAAATGGGTGGCCGTCAAACCAAATCCAGATGCTCTCATCGTTAACATTGGAGACCTTTTCCAGGTAAAAATTGAGATGTTCCTTCACAGAACTGCTATAGAGAACTAGCATGCTAATACACAACTCGACCAGTTGAAAGACACCTCATTAAGAATGTGTCATCCAGCTCCCTCAATTCAAGAACAAAACACAAGTGCATTTTCATTTTTAGAGCTGTTAAGTTTTTTCAGCAATAGCAAGACAGAGTAAATGTTTTTAGCAGTTCAGCAGCATTAGATTGATTTTTACATAAATATACTTTCCACCACTAATCCTTATGGGTAGATTTACGGCTTTTTAAAGTACATAAACAAGACTGGAAAAAAGAACCCCAGTCACTCCAATTGTTTTGATGATTGTTATACAATTTTTCCTATAACCCAATGAAAAAGCAAAAAATGTTTACAGCTTCATATTGTATGTTTAGTTTTTAAGTTGTTCTACGCGATAGTTAAGTTACGATAATTAACTAAAAATGATTCATCTAAAGCATGAGGCACAGAAATTATCAACTAGTACCACTAAAACAAAAGTCCATAATAAGCAGCGGGAATCAGAACGACCATGATACATCAATTATTAAGAGATTAATTCACTAACAAATTCTTTTCTTGGCAAAACCCAAATACAGGCATGGAGCAACGATGAATATAAGAGTGTGGAGCACAAGGTCATGGCAAATAACAAAATGGAGAGATACTCCACAGCATACTTTCTATGCCCATGTTACAATACTTTGATAGGGAGCCGCACAGAGTCGTCAATATATAGGAAATTCACTTTTGGAGAATACCGAAACCAAATTCAGGATGATGTCAAAAGATTTGGACACAAAATTGGACTATCAAGATTTCTTCAAGATACCAATCCATTGATAATGAAAAGTGATTGAATGGCACAATACTAGTTTAGTGGGATTAATACTAAAATCCCTTGGTACAAATGGACAAAGAGGTGGTTCCAATACTTTCCCCCCACCCCCCCTAAATTTCCTTCATTTTTATATATCTTCAGAGGGGTCTAAGATACAAAATATACAAGTGAAAGGAGTCTTGTAATCAAGTAATGCATCATAAAGTACAACAAAATAAAAAGCCATTTCTTTGTTCATTATACGTTTTACCCTTTTCCTTTCAGGTTTTACTGTCATCATGCACACAACTGATTACTGAAGTAGTTTAGATGTGAACTACTTCAACGAAAAACCCAAATATTCAATATACAGAAGCTAACACAAAGAAGCTCATATGCATGACACACAACACAAGCCACTTAGAAGATAATGAGAAAACTCAGTTTCAAGTTATTAATAAAATATAAAACAGAAAATGCAAAAATTTGATGCTTAGATACGCTAATAACCCCAATTTGTTCTAAATCGTAACTTATTTAACTAAAAACCCATTTGAAATAACTTATAAATAGCTTTTTAATCGTGATTTATGAAATATGAGATAAATATATGAAAAAAGTTTTGTCTCAACTTACATAAAACATGCTTATAAATGATTTCAATCATAATGACAAATAGGACCTAATTCTAACCCAATTAATTAAGTAGTAGGACAGCTTAACTAATCACCAATTGCTAATTCCCAATCACTGAAAGACATAGAGACGAGGGGAAGAAACCCCTTGAGTGAAATATAGTTAGCATCAAAATGAAACTCTGTTTTTATAGCAAATGTTACAAGTCTTTAAAGACTGATATTTACAACATAATATCATTTACATTCCAAAAAGAACAATTCCAAAATTGCGTATACATCCATAATTATTCCTTTATATCTTATTATACACTGTCAATAAAAAAATACAAAAAAAAAAAAAAACCCTCAAATGCAAAGGTTCATAACCTTGGTTATATGTTTGCTTGCCCTCTTAACATTGTATAATCAGAACCAAAGGCGGGCTTTTCCATTGCAACATATTTTACTAACCATTCCCGTTAGACGCCAAATGCACATGCTTTGTCAGATTGAAAAGGTGCTGAATCCTTCTGATTGAACTTCAATTTCACTGTATAAGAATTTGATCCATAGATTTCATATTGACAAACTTTGACTAGGACGAGACAACGATTGAAGAATTATATACATTCGCACTTACCTAAGAAACAAAAAAACTTAAATTTGTGCTTTGGCATGAAATATGTGATTCTTCTGCTTTCAATGGATCCACATACCTTAGTCAAGAAACAGTCCTACTTTGTCTTTCAAACTACATTTTCTCTTCGTCAAGGGAACTTTATCTTTACCAGAAAATTCGTCTTGTCTTTTTCCAGGGGACTCCTGGGTGAACTCCACACTTTCGACAATAGACTTGTTCTTCTCCTCCTCAAGGGGTTTCAGCAAAGGACCCAACAAAAGCTCCAGCATCTCTTGAGCAGGATCACCAGTTTGAGAGGTTCTAGTAGGAACCAATTCACCGGTTTTATTTGAAGTGGAACTGTATAGACCCTCCCTTTCGGGAGAAGACCACCTTTTTCTCTCACAATGGGAACCAAGAGAATTTCCATATTCACCTGTCGTTGGAAATTGCTGTACTGATTCAGACTGGCTATTTGATGCTTCTTTTTGTTTCTTCTTCTCATAATCTTTGACATACTGCAGGTAGAAACAAGAAATTTACATCAGCAAACAAGAACATGACTTAATTCTTCCGTAGCTGGGAAACTAGGAATAAATATTGAACCTCAACCCCTTTTAGATTTGCATTATGGCACTGTATTCTTTATGCAGTCAAGTATATGATGAGAAGTAATAAACATATTTACATTCACATTACTCGTAAGAAACCATGTGTTATGATTTTCCTTCGAGAAACATTCCAAGAATTTAAATTACCTCCTCCGCAATGGTCATCAGGTCCTCAATCGTTAGCTCTGTGTCATAATCAGTAAAACCTTGAACAGAATTTGCATCAGTATCACCACAACTAGGGTCTTTGACAGTTTGGCTTTTATTTGAAGAACTCTTCAGAGATTTGACCTTAGAACTCTCCTTTTTCTTCTTGTTCTTTTGTGTAGCATTACCATCACTGTTTGCATCCTGTTCACTCAACTTTCTTCTTCTCTTAACTCCGCGTTCTGCAAGAGAGTACGACTTCCTCTTTGAAGTTTCCCTCTTATGACCCACTCCTGCTTTCTTCAGTGCAATTTCAGCATCTTCCATCAAGTCAGGAGCTTCAGCTATAGCTGATTTCCCTGGAGTGCAATTCTTTTCAGCACTGACAGAATTGTGCACAGGGATGGTAGCGGCCGCAACCTTCGGCAGCATCCATGGTGGTAAATACCGTTTGCTTGCATTCGCAGAAGCAACTCTGACAATTTCTTTCTCCGAATCATGATTATCGCACATCCCCACTGATAAGGATCTGAGGCATTTTTAAGTTACTGTATTAGATAGGATCAGCAACTCCCAAAGCTGAGTCAATTTTCTAAAGGACAGTCATAGATTTTTACTCAGATCACAGTTTAAGCGGGATGCTAAATTAAACAACAAAGGGCTACGTCAAAAACATCAACAGTATCTGGGATCAATATTCTCCACCCCCTTGCAAATGAGAAAATAAAAATGCAAGATTATGAAGTTTCTCATCCACATACTATCTTACATTAAACTTTAAAGAGAAAACATGGTTGAAACATCAGCAGGTCAGCTTGTATCAGCAATTTTTTTTTTTCCTTTTCTTCAATTGAAAAACAGATTACGGAGAGAATCCATCTACTTAACTTAAAATATATGATAAGGAATCAGAGCTATAACTATATTACAAGAACAAGTGGTGTTTCCATTAAGGCAAACATGCCAGCACTGAGATCTTGCAAAGTTGCAAGAACATAATGTCTTTACAATATTTTTATTGGAAAACAAACGGATTACAGAGACAATCTATGCACTTGATCTGACAGTACATGATACAAAATCACAGCTAAAAATATATTACAAGAACAAGTCATATTGCCATCAAGGTAAGTAAACATGCCAGAAATGACATTTTGCAAGGACTGGCCAAAGATCCTGAAAGACAATAAATAGCTGTCCCCAAGATCTTCAAAACACGTACAAGTTTACAATCGACGACAATTATTTTTCAACCTTTCGTCTAAATTGACTTGGGAACGAAGCCAATGCCCCTCACTTTAAACTACCCATCTGTAGTGCTAAAAATTTGAATGGCTAATCATTCAGGATCTAAGGAACTTCGATCTCACTTCAGTATTACATATTGGGTTCTGTTACACTTCTGTAACAAGAAGTATAGAGAGAGAGAGAGAGAGGGAAAGATAGAGGAAGATTGAACAAGAACAGAGGGAATAGAGAAACCAAGAGGAAAAGAGAGAAACAGAGTGACAAGAGAGACTGAAGAATACTGCACTTCAATCCATGAGAAAACACAGACACACGATTATCCTGGAAATACAGCCTTCTATAGGCAGAAAACAATAACAACTAACAGAAATTTAAATGTAACTAACAACTAATCCTACTAACGGCTAACAGCTACTAAACCATAGACTATGACCTAACTACCCTTGCTTAAAAAACACCAATTACAATTATATAACAGGTTCTTTAAGCATATATATTCTTGACTTGACCTACTAATTAACATGACGCGTGTTCAAGACAAGAACGTATCACAGGTGTTGTCAAATCCATTCCAAGCGTAGATCCAACTTTCATCCCACCACTTGCCCCTCCATCCATATGCAACTTGCCATACATCCTTTTTAAACAATCTCCAAATGGAAGTAAAATTATCTGAGGCAAATATGCAGGTAGATTCCTCCAATTCATTCCATGTGTTACGGTCACTACCAGATCCTGCCATGTTGATCAATAATCTAGAACCCTACAATCAACTTCACCGTCATTTTTGTTTAAAAAAGCCGGTTCTAGACCTTTATCCTGTAATCTTGCTTAGTTCAACATTACTTCACCCTTTTAGTTCCTTTGCTTTCCACTTATTGGTGGGATTTCATTTGATCACTCATCATTTTTAGCACCCACCACTAATACTTCCCTTCTGGCAGATTGCCCATGACAATTATGACAGTCCAAGATCTTCTTACCAATAGTCTCCACAAGTACATCTCCCTCCAATGATTCGGTGAAAACGATTTTTATCCCTTAAAGACACTTCTCTTCCATAAACCTTTGAGATCAATTTAGCAAAATTGTGGCAATCAACACAAATCCGGAGGTTTTTTATAATGCGGATTGGCACTCCTTTTGGGGTGGCAATTAAGCCAAAAGTCAGAGCCAATTTTTCACTGTGGCCTTGAAGTATCTTCTCCTTCTGCTCATCATCCACATCATACAGCACACAACTTAAATCAGGAACATAACCAACTTCTTTGAACTTGATTGATAACTCCTTCACCTTTGCAAATATCTCCTCTCTTCTAGGATGGCAACGATCACTCGCATGGAAAGTGTGGAGTATTTGATCAAGCTCAATCCAGCTTTTTCCAGGCTCCTTTATTACAGCCTTCTTCAACATCAGATCTCTCAGTGATTTTACATCTTCCCATCTTCCTACTGAAGCATATAAATTAGAAAGAATAACATAATTCCCAGCATTTCCAGGTTCAACTTCTAGAAGTCGATGGCCCACAAATTCACCTATGTCAACATTTGAATGAACCCTACAGGCACCTAAAAGGGAACCCCATATAGCTGGTGTTGGCTCAAAAGGCATTTCATTGATAAATTTAAAAGCCTCTTCCACTTGACCAGATCGACCAAGCAAGTCAACAACACAACCATAATGCTCAATCTCTGGTTCAACTCCAAGTTTACCATTGGCCATATCATTGAAGATATCCAGCCCCCTATCTTCCAGTCCTCCATGGCTGCAACCAGATAACACAGCCAAAATTGTGACACTATCAGGGTTGACTTTATTTTCTTCCCTCATTAAAGTGAAAAGATCAAGCACTTCTCTGCCCATTCCATGTTTACTATACCCCACTAGCATTGCATTCCAGGATATAACAGTTCTCACTGGCATGGTATCGAAGATCCTCCTTGAATAAATGAGGTTTCCACATTTTGAGTACATGTCAATCAAAGAGTTTTGAAGGACAACAGATGAGGGGATTTCACAGCGAAGAACATGATTATGAACTTGTTTGCCATGATCTAGAGCAGCAAGCCCAGAAAGTGCAGTTAAAACACTAGCATAAGTAACATAATTTGATTGCATTCCTTCCTTTTGAAGCTGGCGAAATAGCCCCAATGCCTCTTCATCATCAAAACCCAGTTGAGCATAACCAGAGATTATAGCAGTACAAGAAACTACATCCCTTTCTGGCATGCATTTGAACACATCATGAGCTTCATGAATTTTTCCAACTTTGGCATACATGTCGAGAAGTGAGCTTCCAACAAAGATATGAGATTCATAATCTGATTTAATGATAAGTGAGTGGATTTGTCTTCCGAAGACAAATCCAGGAGAACCTGTGCATGAAGTAAGTACAGTCGCAAAAGTGAATTCATTAGGTTTTGTTCCTGCCAAAGGGAATGCGTGATTACCATCAGTATAGGGAAAATATTGGGATAGCAATTTTTTTTGGTCTTTTGATGGGGGATAAAAAATTGAGCCATGAATGAGAGGCTTTTTCCCCTGGTTAATGTAAGCTTGTGATATCTAACCACCAAAAAAATCTTATTTTCATTTCATTGACACAATGACTTCTCCATAAATTTCTAACAAACTAATAATAAAATCTCAGCTAGACATTTTGCACATCCATGTGATGGAAGAAGCTATTTAACCCACTTGCAAACTATAGTTCATCATACAATCATCTGGTTCGTCGTGGATACAAAAGAATTTCTCCAAACTTTACACCAAAAGGGGGGAAAAGATAGCATGATGAACATATGGGGATTATTCCGCAATCCGTTCTAAGATAATTTTATCAACACACACAGTAACTAACAAGTGAACACCAAGCATACCTGATCTTAACATGTGTAGAAAGAGGGTAAGAGCCTCAGAAGCATAACCCTTTTGAGAATAAGCAGAGATCATCGCTGTCCATGACACCACATTTCTTTCAGGCATTTCATTGAGCACTCGCCGTGCATCATCCAATGAGTCACACTTAGTATAGAAAACGATCAACCTTGTTCTAAGGTATACAGATGGCAAATAATCAGTTTTGATCATGTGGGCATGCACTCTCTGCCCTTCTCTAGTGGCCCTTTGGTTCACACACTCATTCAAGATGGAATTGTAACCTTTGAACTTGATTTGGGGGCCCATAAGGGCCATTTGTAGCAAAGCTTCTTGAAGATGAACATTACACATAGAAGCTATAAAAGCCCGTGAATTTGAAGGGTACGTCACGAATCCTAGTTGAGTGATCAACGTTTCCTGAATGTAAGAAGTTATATATCTTGTTCGAAGCATTGGAACTTGTTAGTTAGTGCATAATTTTGTTTGGCACGATAAAGCCTTAATCGTTTGCTACATCATATGCATTTTCCCCCCTCTGACGCCCAGCCACTAAATCATGGATTTTAAACTCGTTGATCCTCAGGCCAAAAGAAAAAACTCGTTGGTCTTGAAAACCATAATGCAAAACGAAAAATAAATAAATAAGCAAACAGTCTCATATAAGTACTATATTTTACAATGCACATGTTTTAACATTTGTATCATTATTTTTTACCACTACAATATTTCAAAATGACTCAAAAACTTACAGAAAATTCTTTTTTTTTTTTTTTTTTTGGGTTGTAATGAATATCTTCATCAAAGTTTTGACATACTTGATCTAAAATTCAAGAATGCAAAAAAGAAAAAAAGAAGAAGAAAATCCCATTAGAATACAACATAACAATAAAACAATCTACATACAATGACATATACATTTATATTGTTTGATTCAGTACTTAGTAGTCAACGAGGAAGAATACCATCATTGATTGGGGGAAAAAAGAAGAAGTTATAATTATCAAAAAGGAGAACGCAAGTTGTGAATGAATAAAATGATACTACATTCTTGAATCCTGATATTTTTATATATACTGTGAATGAAAAATATGTCATGTCAAAACATTTAACTATATATGTATTGATTAAAAACATCTAGTTGCGTGTGCGTGTGTGTGTATTTTGCCAGCACAATTCAATGCATAAATACGTGTTAAGTTACTGTTTATATATATATATATATATATATATATATAATAAATGCATAAAAAAGAAGTAACAGACTACCAAGCAACTAACTAGAAAAAGGAAAAAAGAAGACTGAACATAAGCAAGGAATACAAATAAAAGGAATCAGCATAACTGTACGAAGAATTAGAATAATTTCCATTACTTCCCTCTCAATCAAAAAAGCTCGAACCAAGTAGGCAACAAGCCGTATCAAGCAATCTAAAATAGCACAAGTCACCCAAGTGCCACTGGGGCACCACAAAAAAACCGTAATTTTCCCAAAATTGAGTAGAGTACAGCAGATGCCGGCCAGGGAATTAATTAAAAAGAATCCCAATAAAAAAATGGAATGCATGTTCATTCATATAAAATAGGTTTGTCCAGCCCAAATCTCATAGAAATGATTCATACGAAAGGGAATCGCTGAGATATGAAAATCTGAAGCGTCATATCGAAGACAAAAAGACAAAGCGCACAACTAGAAAGACTCGAACGCTACCTGTTGAGTCGCCGACGACAACAAGAATGGAGAACAAGAACGCCGGAGAGGTTGAACGGCGACTGTGAGAGTAGAGAAGGGTGACTGTGCGTGACAGGAGCTGTTGACGACGCGAGAGAGAGGGATCACCATGGGTCGGGCTTCCCTGCCGTTATCATCCTGTGCCCTCCGCTACGTTTATACGGCACCGTTTGCAATGTTGAGGGGGAAAATGTTTTCGTGGTGGATGGGTCAACAAACAGCCAAACAGGGATGAACGGGCATTTCCTCCTCTCAATCAACGTCAACCAAATCTCCCTTCGTTTTATTTTCTTGCTCCCTTTTCACTGCAAACAGGCCAGCCTCGAGAGACCAGGCTTCAAAACCAAATGTCTGGCCTATTTAAACCGGCAGGACTTCAAATAGGTCTTAAGTTTGGTCTATTCATTAAAAAGGTTTAGAACTTTCCACGTCCTAATCCG